TAATTAATATTAAAGTTTTATTGTTAATGTATTTAATATTACAAAAAAATTAATTGGTGTGATAACACTGAGTTGCATTCTATTATAAATAAGGCGCTGGGAGGTCTGTTACCACGTCTACTGCCTATAAATTCAATCTGGTTTCTGCGCATTGTAAAGTAATGTACTCTTCGGATAGTAATCACGCTCTACTAAAGTTACATTTACCAATATTTGTGAGGATATTGCAGAAAAATATGTTTAAATCAATAAATATTCCTAAATTTTATGTTGTGTTTATTGCAACAATCGAGGCAACAATCAATACTTAGGCAACTTAGGTTTGTTTGGTAGAAGTAGTGATATTAAGCTGAGAAGCAAGAATGTATTCGCTTAAGCGGGGATCAGATTAGGCTGGTTACCAGCTTGCGAATGAAGGAGGCGGCTACTCTCAGCTTAGTATGACCACAAAACACCCCGCTGACACCCCCAGCTGGCGAGTATTTGTCAGCGGCTGGCGAAGTTAAAATATTTAACTTTTGGCACAGCTTAAAGAATATATGTTTTTTTGAAGCAAGTTGCGATTTTTTAATGTTGTTTTAAATGCCACTCAAGTTTAAATAATTTGGAAAAATAAACGGTCTTTTAAACACACATTGTCGAATATTGTTAGGTTCCTATTAAAAATTATTGAACAAAATATATTGGTTTTGAGGAAAGATATTGATAATATCTTTAATTTCTGAAACCTTCTGGTTTTTTCCAATTAGTACTATTCAATTTAAAATTTTTAGAATCCGGTACTCAAACGACACCAACGCTTTCCGAAAATTCTACAAGAAAAAGAACATTAAAGGAATCTGTCAAAACACTGGAAAGGGCCATGAGTATTCACATATGTAGAAGGAAGCTAGAAACAGAGGTGACCTTGGAAGAAGTTGTAAAGTTTTTAGAAACCATATACTCAGAGGAATCCTGTCGATTTTTAAAAAATCAATTATATTTGCGCCAAAATGGTCCAGGTATAGGTACTATACGAGTTTAAGCAGTTTGCTTTAAGTATTTATTTTCTATATTTCTATTTATCTTCGTAGAGGTTTCATCTTATTTTAGCCAGTGTTTTATTGTAGCTAATTACCTTTATCATAATACCTAAATCCCAATATATACCAATTTTCACGGTTCATCAAGCCAACTGTGGAGTTCTGTAACACAGCAGCTCACTTTGTACAACTAAGACACCTTTTCAGGGAAATGATGATTTGTCCTTTGATCCTGCATTGCCGAACCCTAGGGATTCTGAGCAGTCAAGAATTATTACTGATCCTACATTATTTCAAATAAAGTTTTAATTAGTTTCAAATAACACTCCTAGTCCCAGACACTATTCCTTTTTTCGATACATGATTCCTATTTGGTCCAATTTCGAGTTTTATATTAGTTTAAAATGTACATATATATTATCTTTATATGCTAAAACTACAGATTAAATATTTTTTAGTAATTCAATAACTCTTTATATTTCAAATTTGCGAAACCCCTCGTACACTAATATTCGCCGGGCGAAACCAACCTACGCTTGGAAGTCCCCTGTAGAGACGCCGTTGTGCGATAGAAAGCAGATGGCCACAGCACGGTTTTGATCACGAAAGATCTAACGCCCGACGGAGAGTGCAGCAACTGATATATATTCTTTAATTTAAATTGTGCTTTTGGTAGCAGGCAGCGGAGACTAATAGGTCACGTGATTCACTCGCACCCGCTGGCAGCGCAATCTGACTGGGACTCACGCATCGGGGACAACACTAATCATTTGTAATTGCTGTGGTGGGAGGTGTTTGTGTGAATACGTCTTGTTTGTTTTCATTTACGCCTTGACTAGCAGTAGTATTTTATAAACCTTAGAAGCAAATTTCACATACACGAACAAATAATAATAATGCCGTGACAACAAGAAGACGAAATAACGATTTCAATCCATGCCTAGCTACGCCGACCGGCATAAACACCAACGGCCTGGACACAGCTCACCTACTCTGTAAAAAGGAGACCGATCTAACAAATAAAACGCGTACGACATGCGCACTACAAATGATTAGTGTTGGCCCCGGTACGCGAGTCTGACCGGGTAGTAGCGCAGCAGCAGCGAGTAAATCAACACGTGGTTTTATTTTTAGTATTTTAATTTTTTTTGTTGTGTTTACTTTGCAAGTTTTGAACGGTATAAATGGCTAAGTTAAAGTGGCCAGGAGAGGAGGTTATTAAGTTCCTCAATTTATTTCAATATTATCCGTGCTTATGGGACGTTTCGTCAAAGGAATATTTAAATAGAAATATAAAAGCATTTCCGTAATCTCCACCACTCCCAACCTTAATAACCGCCTAATTTCTCTTTTAATTTTTCTTTTACGTGCACACACCAACGACATGCTGAATAGAAATAAGCTACCAGAACCAGGCGAATGAAGCTAAATGTGACCGATTCGCCAGCCGCTGCTTCCTGGTGCTGCTGCCAGCCCCTGATTACCAGCAGCTAGTAACCAGCCTAATCTGACCCCCGCTTTAGTGCGAAGCGAGGTGCGAAGTCATGTTAGGTGAAGCAAAAGTGATACTAGCGCTAGCTGCAGATAATTCTTGCATTTTAGGGCGATATTTTGTAATTTTGGCATATCAAATACACATATAGGTACATTTTACTTTTTTTTTCAAGTAAAAAGTAGGTAAAAACAATACAATAAATGGATATGTGTACAATAAGAAGAAAAATGACCTTTATTTTTGAAATAATAACAGTAATACTGGAAATAGTAGACATCAGAAAGTTGAAAGGTTTTAAATAAACAATAAATATCATTTCACGATGTTCTTCAGCATCCCTTTAATCTTAAATGTTGGACAAGAACTAGATTTCTGCCTTTGATTATTGCTCGGATTATTGTATGTGGCTGGAATGCAGTTTTGTGACTGATAGGAAACCAGTTTTACTCATTCATTCTATGTTTTCTTTTGAACAAAAATGAAAATATGAATAACAATTCTTCTGTTTATACATTTTAACTTCATGCTATTATTTAAAGGTAGTTATTTTTTTATTTTTACAGAATAGGTCAAGTCTTCAAAGACAACTTCTCATACATTTTTCCATAAATACTGTTGCCTGCCTTTATTTTATTATTGATTTTTATTGAATATAGGTACTTAATTTTTTTTAGTTTAAGCAATAAAAACAAGAGTCCCCTAAATGCAAAACTCGGTATTTGACGAAATTTTCAAAAGTAATGTTTTAGCGTCATTCAATTCCTTATTTCAAACTCTACCATTCTTCTCCTAAAATAATATGCAAAACTCCCTATTTCTGCATTTAGAAAACGAAGACTAGATGCAAAACTCTGTATTTGCCTCGGTATTTGCCTTCATTTATCATATGCAAAACTATGTAATTATAACCTGCCAATGGCGTTGCTCCTAATAGTCACGTGATTAAGTAAGTACACGGGCACATGGACATTTTAATTTATTCATTTGTTTGGATTCTGAAGTACCTTTTTTTGCTTATTTAGAGAAGATTTTTTTGCTTGTATGTATATTATTACACCTAATAAAAATGTTTTAATTTATATTTAGGTATCTTCAATTAAAAAAAATATATATATATAAGAAAATAAATGTTCTAAAATAAGACAACCATGCACTTATGGGTATTTGCAATTGTGAGTTGCAAAACTGGGTATTTTTAACATATAAATGCAAATCTCGGTATTTTAATTTTAAAACTATTTTTTTTTAATTTTGGTAAGATTTCGGATTAAAGAGCATAGTTATTTCAAAACAAAATCACTAGAGCCAACTAAAAACAAAATTTAAAACGAATACATATGTATTTTAATCAATGACAGTTTTTTGCCCTTCTTGAAAAATTATGTAACTAGCAAATACCGAGTTTTGCATTTAGAAGGCTCATATAATAAAATAATGTTTTAGGTACTTGTTTTACAAATCCATATACTTTTATTAAAACTAACATATACTTATACTTTTTAATTACGAATTCTATTAAAAATTGTATTATCAGTATAGGCAAAAATAGTCCATTAGTACAAAAAAGAATTGGCGCTGCTATCGTGCACCGAGCAAATATTCTTTTATCTGTGTCAGTTGGCAGGGAAGCGGATTTTTTAAAAATTATGTTTTCATTTCAGGCGACATTCAATTAATTTTTTATGTGGGTTTGGTTACGTAATTTTTTTTATTTAGGTATTTTGATATTTTATATAGAACAAATATATAATTTTTTTTGTGCAAATATGAAAAAAAAAATGTTTGGGATGGTAAATATTTCATGGCGAAAAATATTTTTTTATTGCCGTTTTTCTATAGGTAGGTATATTGTATTTTCCAAACAACACATCAATTTTTGCTTATATTTTTCTCGAAAAATTCTAGTTTTTCTATATTTTTTTACGAAAATTTACTATGGAAACTAGTTATTTTTGGGTGCTGACAAATTTTTTGCAAAACTCGCACCTCCAGAAAGCTCAGTGAACAATTCTCTCGTGTTCCAAAAAAATAAATAAAAATAACACTAAAGTGTTATGAACCCTTTTTTCTTCATAAGTACGTATGCTTAGTTTTTTCATAAGCGAAAAGAGCTCAAATTAGACAATAATCAAAAAAAAATATTTTGGATAATCCTACCTACCTCCTAAAGCGGCATGTTAAAAAATATATATCGTCGTGTAATTTTGATTAATTATTGTAGGTAATCGGTATGGTTTTATGATTTTGTCAATTTTGAAGAAAGTACGACATTCCTTTGAATTAACAATTTATTATACGTTCTTCATCGTCATTTATTTATTATTACCAACAATCCAATCAACAAGCAGTATTATTGTAAACTAACGTAGTATTGTATAATATTTATTATAAGTGTGGCAACGGCGCCTCGAATCTTTGACCTTGATGTGACTTCAAGTAGTCGCTTTTATTTAGATACAAATACAATCAAATAAAATACTTACTAAGTCTTGTGTTGCATCAACAACAACTCCATTGACTTTTAATTCTTCTAATAAATTATATACGGAATTAAAACTATCACTAGGAACATCAATGCGACCTTTGTAAATCAATTCAACCAAGTTTTTTAACTGAATGTACGAAATACCATACATAAAAATAGCATTGTCGTCAGCGTGATCAATGAAAACTTGTCTAAAATACCGGCTACTCGCGGCTAAAATCACTTTGTGGGCTTTTATAGCTCCATCTTTACAATACAAAACACAATCGGTGAGTAAACTGTCTTTATACAGTGTCTCAAAGACGTTGCCTAAGTTCTCCAGATGTCTATCCGCAAAAAGCCGAACTGTCTTTTGTAATTTCATGTTCGTATTTCGAGCACCAGTTCCACAACACTTATTTTAAATTTAATACACAATAAACATAAGTAATTCGTTTATATTTAGGCTGATTTTACAGGTTTTTACCTTGGAAAACCGTCTAACCGCACTTACAGCTGTGTCTCCGCGCCCTATAGGTTACACACTAAGGGGGGCTCGACTCGGTATTGATTTATTCGTGCTGCCCCCTCTTCTAAATCGCAAAATACCCTCTGGAATTAATTATAACTCCCGGCCTCTGCTGGGTTCGAGGACGACCCAACCAACTTTTAGTATTTTCTCTTTATTCTCGAGCTTGTTGCCGCGTTTACTTATTTATTTTATATTTATTTAGTTTATCTGGAGCGTACCACAGGCGTAATTTTGTTAAAAATATTTATGTACACGTATCGCTGTATGTATAATAAACTCATTTTATCTGTTTTATTATTTTGTTTGAAATATTTTTTTGGATGAGCGTCGTGCTACCTACCTACCTAGTAATAAATTGATATTTATTATTTATTAAAATTTGATATTTTCTACGATTATTAATTATGGTATTTATTGTGACTAACATAATATAATAATAATTATTATTATTAATAATATTTTTATTATTATTATTATTATAAATAATAATATAAGTAGCTTCTTCGAACTATTTCTTTTCTAAAAACATTACGACATACCTACCTACGTATTTATTAGATAAAAATAAAAAGTGCTTACGATAAGTTTATAAAAAAAAATGATAATGTTTTATAATATATTAAAAAATTTATAAAAATAAGTAATACATTTAATTTCGTATAGGTACCTAGGTGTGCCTATGCATCAAGAATATATTTGTAATAAACCTATGATTCTTTATAACCAAGATACAGGGTGATTTAGCCAATTTACCCACTTATTTTATTATTATACACTATACAGGGTGGCTCACGCTCAGCGGGACGGAGCTTTATGGGAAAACGACCAAAGATATAAAAAATTCGTTTGGGAGGAATACGTAGGTTACAGACGGCTACAATTTAAAATTTGTTAGATGTATACAGGATGTCCCACATAAGAAAAAAAAAATTAGTTCATTAAGAGTAAACAATTAATTTCTGGGAGACTTTTTTTCCTTAAAAATTCAAATAAATCGAAAACTAATAATAATAGTAATAGGGAACCTTTAGTTAACTGACATTATTTTTGATGTAGTTTTTAATTCTAAAATAAAAACAGGGTGTTCCATCCCAGTCAGCACCAGATATTCTTGGAACATTCCTACAGTGTCCCTAGAAGAATATATATATTCCGAATATATTAAGAATATTCCTGGAATATATATGAGCTGGTGGATAAATCTATGAATATTAGTTTTAGATTATTCCTTGAACATGCTCAAATGATTATTACAGTAATAATCCTCTGGGAATATTCCAAAAGGTATATTCTAGGAATAATCTGAAATACATAATGTAAGAATGATCTTACAGGAATATACCTGGAATATACCAGGAATATTAAAATAGTAGTTTTACAATCATAATCTGCGGGCTTGGACTAACTTCTCATGTATTCAAAATGAAATACCTCAAGAGTTAGTTGCACAGTAGTTGTTCTGTGGGTAGTTGGTAGTTGTAAAACACAGTTATATCTGTCTTGTAAAAATCAAAAAAAGAAGAAGAAAAAAAAAAGAAGAAGAATTACGTTGTTTTGATTGCGTACAACGGTTGACAGACAATAATTGCTCTGAACTATTCCCGTCTCTCTTTAGTGCATACAATTAAAAAAAGGTAGAGTATGGAACTCATTCCATTTACCCGTAGTGTAAGTGTTCAGTGTAGTTTTAAAGTTCAGAAAAGAACGCATCGACGCTTCGTTTGGAGCAGGGAAAGGTAAACAAGCATTAATATTAATTTTGTTACACATTACTGTAATTCTTTTTTAGAAATTACTTTGAAGAAAATTCCAGTTATACATCCTGTAACGTTGGAAGTTGGTAAGTGCTTTTTTGGACTTTTACAATACGTAAGTAAGAGAAACAGATTTAACAAATAACTTTTAAGACTAATGAGATTTATGATTTACTAAAAGCCCTAACAGATGAAAAGAAATCTGACCAAGAACTACAAATTACCGATGTGAAGGTATTTGATCAAATCCCTATAACAACTCCAGATGGACTTGCGTACATTGAATCATTAATAGCTGAAAAGACATCATTTAATTTACTAGTAAGTTTTTCTTGAATAGTTGTTATTAAAACCTGGTCTACAATATTTGGTTTTTGCAGCTTACAGATTTTAGCAGGTTAGGGGGAGCCAACTATAAAGAACTCATTAGGAGAATAATGAGACAGCTGATGACAGACTCTGTTAGTCTGTTGCCAAGCTGTACAGCGTTCATGGACAAGGGAAAAACGTCCTTTTCTAAAACAACCTGCTTCAGAGCAGTTATAGGTATTTAATTATTTTTCTATTTGTAATAACAAGTAATATACTTTTTTTCTACTACCCTATGTGTAAAGTACTAATATGACTCAAGCTTTTAATACCAAAGTTATTCATCACAAGTTTGTAAATGGGCACGCCAAACTGTGTTTCAAAAAGAAAAAATTATAGAAACATGTGTACTTAATTTGGGTGACTGCATGTCTTATTCATGTTTTTATATTAATTTTGATAAAATTTGTTTTGTATGCTTAAATTAAAAAATTGTAGATTGCATACAACAATATGAAATATTTCATCGAAAATATTTTAGGTAGGTACACAGTTCACAGTAAGGTGAAAAATACTTATATTTTATTCTTGCTTTGGTTAACAATTTCAGTTTTAAAATATGTATTATGAAATTCGTGAGCAAAGTCTCTTTTAGCTCCTATGAATATCATACTCGCCTTGTTTGTGTAATGATATTCACTTTGTCACACAATACATATTGGACTCGCCTGTTACATGGAACTATATTATATTCTCTTATTTTAGGTGCAGTTCAGATCTACAATAGAAATGTTACTTCCAAAGACGTAGAATTAGTGATGGGCCAATGGCTTGCGAAGGCCAGTGAAAGGCTCAAAAAGACAAGTCTTGAGGAAACCAATAGGTAAATTTTATTATTCTCTATCACAGTTTTACTAATAAGGTCTCAATCATTAGAATTATCTAATTTCTTAATCCTAACTGTTCATTTCTTATTTGGAAACTAAAACAATTGCGAATAAGTTTACAAAGATTTAAATATGAAATCTAACAGAGGAACCCACAGTCTTTATAATTTAATGGGTTTTCTGTGTGAAATATTTACATTTAAAAGTAAAAAACTTAATTGATATGAGGCTGTGTCCAATATTCCTGTAGATCACTAAAACTATATACAAGTGGATTTACTAAGACACTTTTATAAAACAGCTATTTACCATGAGGATAGTGCAGTACTGCTTTCCAGTCAGTTACAGGACTGTAAGTGGTAGTACACAGTGCACTTACTGATATGCAGTACAAGCACTGATTAACAATGTTTATAAACATATTTATAAACATTGTTAATCAGTATGTTTCATTTTTAAATAAAACAGTAGTATTTAAATACTTAAAATTTGTAATAGACAAGTACAAGTACTTTAATGAAAATAACGGGATTTTTTTTTTACCCTTTCAGCCATCCCGCTGCTCCCCCCTTGAGGGGTTTCAGCTTATCCCCCCAATCAGGCTTGGTTCCAGACCGGGGGCTCCCCCAAGCAAGATTGGGTTCCAATCTGCTTTTTCCCTCTTGGGGTTCGCATGGTGGCACTGAAGCCTCACGGGCTTATTGTACCACCATTTGGATGCCCTACTCCTTCCCATTCAATCTTCTCATTTATTCTCCCATTCATTCCACCGTTTGGATGGGCCCCGCACTCTACGAGTTCGGTCACCCATCCAAACCGTGACCGGAGAGATCACTGCTTAACTGCGAGAGCGTAAATGCCCATCACTACTCTCGCCGCTAGCCCCTCCGGTAACGGGAAATTAGGCACTAGTATAATTTTAAAATTACAAATTATTTTCTGCTCTGATTTCTTCTCATTATTTTTTTTTTTTTAGAAATGGAAATGACCTGGAATGACATCATGACGTGGAATGACATCATGACGTTTATATTTTGTTTTTTTTTTTAATTTTGTTTTATTTTTGGAAATTAGTTTTTTTATTTTGTGTTAATATATATATAGGTATAAGTACATAGTTAGAATGTTTTACTACTCCTAATACAAATGCCATTTATAAAAATCAACAGGAACAACTTAACAAATTGTATTGAATGCTATCAATTAGGATTAAACTGTACATACTTTTTTTACTGATATCTGACAACTGATTTTTTCTTTTTATTAGATCTTACCACTGTTTATGTTTCGGTGCCATTAATTAGTACTAAATTTTCATAGAACACTCATTTAGAATGAATAATATTTTATTTATGTGACAATAACCTTAACATGTTTGTTATTTTTGTACAGTTTAATACTGATATATTCAGTTGTAGAATTTGCCAGCAAGCCATTTCTCTGAAATACAAATAGAATATTCTTGGAATAATCCAGGATGTCAATCCCAGAATATTCTATTCTGAAAATGAGGATGTTCTAGATATGTCTGGAATATTCTAGGAATAATCCCAAAGAGTAGTTCTGACATAATCCACCAAGAATATCCCCTGTATAATATAAGAATATGCCAAATATTCCAGGAATAAACATAAGTAATATTGTAAGTATATTCTCTATAAATATTCTAAGATTATTCCACGAATATCCTAGATATTCCTGGAATAATAGTAAAAATGATCTAAGTATGTTCCACTAGGAATATTCTTCGATTATTCCAGGATTATTTGTAGCATGTTCCAGGAATATTTCTGAGGATTATTCTATGGATCATCCACATATTCCCATTCGCACATTCCAGGAATATTAATATCATATGTATATCTCTGGCGCATATCCCAGGAATATTCCATTATTCCTAAAAGATTATCCCAAGAATATTTCTAGATTATCTGGTGCTGACTGGGATTAAAAATAATATAACTTTTTATATTTTCTCTTATGTGGGACATCCTGTATACATCTAACAAATTTTAAATTGTAGCCGTCTGTAACCTACGTATTCCTCCCAAACGAATTTTTTATATCTTTGGTCGTTTTCCCATAAAGCTCCGTCCCGTTGAGCGTGAGCCACCCTGTATATTACAAACTATATATGCTATATATATGCTATATAAAAATTCAGAAATCTGAAAAACACCATATACCTAAGTACATATGATTTAAAAAAATCAGTTTGCATTAATTTTCAAGAATA